GTGACCGGAATAACACACGCGGCTTTCTGAAGCTACCTGCCGTGTGCATCTAAGTTTCCGGGAAATGCTGAGTTTTTTTTTCTCTCATTCGCCGTGCGGTATCAAACATTGCATGAAAAATACACGCTTAGAGCAGTTCCTCGAATCAAATATCTCGTTTGTCGCGAGGGGCATGAATGAATTCCCTGAATGAAAGAGCCAAACTGCAGTTAAAGTCCAACATTTAATAATTTGGCAAATAATTCGACTACAGATGTCCATGTAGGTTAAACACCATCACTTTCTCCTGTGTGTGAGTATTTTGACTGAAACTCGCGGGTGCCCAAATAGACACTCCCACACCCTCCCACTTTAGTTCCTCCGACACTCCCCCCTAAACAGAGCTGGACACGCCCACTTTTCTGACTTTTTCCAAAGTAGAGGTGTGAAAACACCCTGCTGAAATGACGGGGTTTCATGGCCCTTTAAACATTTTATGTGAAATGTGCTCTGATCAGAAGGTAACATAAGGGTCAAGAAGGGGGGTTTAGGTGAAAGGAGAAGGGTGACTTTCTCGCATTACCCCCTGCTGTGGTGTAGCTCTGTTTTTCAGCCTGTGTTTGCATTGTCAACAGTGATTTTAATAGAGCAGTTAAACAGCTGCTTTTCTGATCTTCTTCTCAGATCAGAAAGGCTATTGTTGTTTTGCATATCAATTCTTATGGTCTTGTCTCATGAACAGTTTTCAGGGTCTGATATTCTGGAATCTTACACTTGAACAACCTTACAATATAAGGTCCTAAAGAAAACTCTAGCTAAGAAATATAGCCAAGAGAAGATTCTGGTTTCGTTGTTTAATTAGGGTTAGGGCTGGGCGATTTTTCCGATCTTTTCGATTAATTCGAATTTACGTTTTCAGACGATTTAATTTAGAATCAAATCGAGAAATCAGGATTTAAAAAAAAAAAAGATATATATATATATATATATATATATATATATATATATATATATATATATATATATATATATATATATATATATATATTTAATACATTATAATGGCACCAATGCGCTTTGGTTCATTCTGTATGAAGCAGGAAGCACACCAGAAGCGCCTCTCGGCGACGCGCCACGCAGCACCACGATTCAGGATGCAGGTCATATTTCAGCCGCGCCACAGAGCGCCATCTGATTAGTTTCATGTTAATAATCATGCGAATGTGCCCGTTTGGTGTGTGATAGTTTAAACTGTCATGTGTCGCGGCGCTTCTGGTGTGCGACCTGCTTGACTGTCTGTTAAAGCGTGAAGTCATGTAGGATTTTACTTGTAGCATTAGTCTGAGTCACGCCCGTGTGGATTGTCAAGACATATTCCCTAATTAAGTCGATGAACTCGATCTCAACATGTTTGAAGGACGTAAAACCCTTCCATGTGAAAAACTGCGCCAATCTTTTGGTTTGAACACGAGCAGAGGTGAGGGCCAGTAGCAGTGAAAATGAAAAAACCCGCCCCCATGACGTCATTTAGCGGACCTAGTTAAAAACCAGACAGATCAAGCAGCATAATACAGAGAGTGGAGCAAAGCACATCAAATGATCGATATTCAAAAGGGGGAAAAAAGAAAAAAAAATTGAATATATTAATTTATATTAGACACACATCTGGTACTTGTTTTTGCTCCTGCTTTGCGTCCACAACTTCACACATTGGGTTAAATTAGGCTTTACAGTTTCCATGTTCAGTCCTTTTTCTTCCACTGTATCTTTTTAAGAAAAAGGCAGCATCATTACAACCTTTCATTCAATTCCTAGGCTCAGCAAAACATGCAAAAAATACCTCTGTATTCCTGCATCTGCAATATTTACACAAACATTTCTCAATCAAATCTTCAGCAACGCTATTTAATTCGTGAATTTGTTTTACATTTATTTACACCTTGACCGATTTTTGAATGACATGGCCATTAAAAATACAATGTTCCTTAACCAGATGGTTTAAGTCACTTTTAAAGAGAATGTTACTACAGTCATGTTGTTGTAATGTTTTGAGAAGACTAGTAACACAATAAAAAAATAAAAAAATCGAAATCGGTCAAACTTTATGAAAAACCTAGATTTTTTTCTGCCAAATCGCCCAGCCCTAATTAGGGTATTAAATAAAGGCATCCAGTACAACATTAGTATTTTATTGAAGTATTGAATTCGATTTTATATGCTGCTTAATTCCAACAGACTGACAGGACTTAAAATTAGACCAAATTACACAATTAGCTAATTCTATCCCATTTGTTTTTAAGGAGGGATCACATTTTTCACAGTCTATGAAACAATGCTTTGAGACCACCAAAGCCTATACAATAAAAGCGGGCCTTAACATTCATTTATTGATTACTGTTGTCACAATTTAATGATATCTTTTTTCCTATGCCTTATGATGCTTTGAACAAACTACAGGAGTAATTTACAATAAACTGTACACAAGCAGCAAAGTGTTAATGTATTGTATAATATAAACACTGTGGATGAGCAGTGTACAATGAACTCTAAAGAGCTTCAGCTACACAAATCCTCTTGATTTCACTCATATCACATTCATATTCCAAGCGTAACACTGCTTTCATTACAGATAAAAATAAAACACAAAGGTAACAATACCTCTCTATTAGTTTTCACTACCCTTATGGATCATGTTTTATTCTCTAATCCTATCTCTCACCATAATATTAATGTAGTCAGTTGCCCTGACTAGATTGTGGCCCATATTAGTTGTAAATAGTATTAATATGTTATTAATTATAACCCCAGTCAGGGTAAAAAAGCATCAAGAATAAAACTCAAACCGAAACCTCTGGTTTGTAACAATCAAACTTTTAATAATTTGATCACTTTTTGATTCATTCATTTTCTTTTCAGCTTAGTCCCTTAATTATCTTGGGTCGTCACAATGGAATGAACCGCCAACTTATCCAGCATATGTTTTACGCAGCGGATGCCCTTCCAGCTGCAACCCATCTCTGAGAAACATCCATACACCCTCATTCACACTCATACACTATTGACAATTTAGCCTACCCAATTCACCTGTACCACATGTCTTTGGACTGTGGGAGAAACCGGAGCACCCGGAGGAAGCCCACGCGAACGCAGGGAGAACATGCAAATGATCAAACTCTAATCATCTAATCAGATTTAATGATGTATGCTAAGCTAAAATTTCTCCCGCCATACACAGAGATTGGCTGAATGGATTTGAAAATGGTAAAACTAAACTGTTTAAGTCTAGGGGAGCTGTAAAACAAGCCTATTTTAAAAAGTGGAGTGTTCCTTTAAAAGTGCATATTAGAAGCCAAAGTTTACCTATTAGTACCTAAAATACAAAAGTGTTTAAATATCATCATGGACCCTTTAGGGACAAATATGTAACTTCTGGAAAAGTGTATTCATATTAACTCTAGCAATATCTGTAAATCACTCTTTTTTGCTTTTCCTCTTTGATCTAAAGCAGCAGCGCATGATGAAGAATTTGGCCATTTTAAAGCAGATGTAGAGGACTAGAGTCAGGACAGTGGTAAGAAAAGCGAACACATCCAGACAGTGGTACTGATACCAGGTCAGGTTGTGGGCCTCCACACGCAGGTGTTTTGCACCTTTATTGCGCATGACGAACTCAATCCAGAACACAGACTCATCTAAAGGCTTCATTGGTCTGTCGTGATGAATCCTGGACAAACGCATTGCATTCTCTTTATACCTGCGGAGAAACAGAGCATCTTAGTCCAGAGATCTGCAGTGTTATGCACTGATAACAGAGTAAATCAGATCATATGAGTGACTTACGAAGGGTCATTAATGACTGTATTGAGTTTGTCCACCAGTTCTTGTGGCTGCATGCTCTTAATGCTGTCTACTACAACAGCAGCACCTCTGGTGGTCATATGAACCATATTATCAGGCTGGTCACCAAACAAGGGGATCCCGACCATCGGGACACCATGATATATGGCCTCATATATGCCATTAGTGCCCCCGTGAGTGATGAACGCTCTGGTTTTGGGGTGGCCTGATTGAGAAAAACAGATTAATTTGTCATTAAAGTAAATTACAAAGTAGATCAACAAACAGTGGTGAAATGACCAAAAAATCATAATCAAGTAAAAGTACAGAGAGTGTGTTGAGGTTAGTCTGTCTGTGATGCATGATTGGATTCTACTTAGTCTACTTGGCCTAGTCACAAATGTTAATACAAACCCAGTAAATCATTCTGAGGCATCCACTTATAGATTCTAGTGTTTTCACCAAGAGTATCTGGTTTCTCTCCACCGTATCGCCACAAGACCTGTAAGACAGTTACACAAAACCACTCTCAACTGATCATAGCAATGAATAAGAGACTATAGACAAACACATGTAAAGATTTAACATGACTTTATTTCATTTCAGTCCATTTATTTAGAAGCAGTGTTTAATCCTTAATGATACTTTGCAAGTAAAGACTGCACTGTAGGGATGATCTCTTACCTTCTGTGGTATCTGTGCCAGTGCAGAGGCGATTCTATTGCTCATCTCTTTGGGCACTTTGTCTATCATAGACCCCAGTGTGAAGACCACGATCCCATCATCCCCTGAGCTCTGCACAAACTCTTCCATGTCCTGCACAACAACAAAAACACTTAAACTAAAGGTGTTTAAAGTAATTCCACATATTTATGAACAGTTTGAAATATGCTGCAGCATGGGGAATCTACTGCAGTTTTGGTGAAACAAAGATGGTAAATGACATATCACTGTGATAAAAAGATTAACACAAACAGCACAGTGAGACTCAAGAACAAATTACTCTTTTTTTATAATGTTTTTTTAATGAAGTGGTTAAGAAATCTTGAGTTAAATGAACATAATTCAGACTATCACTAAAACATCATGTGACATTACTTTCAGTCAAATAATGAACTCTTCGTGAACTTGTAGGCTTGCTTTGTACCAACAAATAAGGCTGAATGTTAAAAACACAGACACACCTTGGGTAATGGCTTGGCAGGGGTGCAGTGAAGCCCTCCGATATATTTGAAGTTGGGCACGAATGGCCGTGGAAACTCAAAATCCCAGTAGGTTCTGATTAACCAGATATCAGCTCTACCCATCATCTCACAATAGGAAGTGGGCCGTCCTGCAATAAAGTGTTTGATAGTATATACATTTCTTTTTGTATAGTATTCAGTATTTTGCAGCACATTATACTGTATGAACAGCTGTAAATTCTATATTTGACCCTGGACCACAAGCATTGTACAGCGTTATATGGGTCAAATGATTGATTTGTCTTTAATGCTAAAAGTCAAAGGATATTAAGTGAACATGATGTTCCGTTACCATACTAAACCATAACTTTTCTATTCTTCTTTCAGATTAATAAAAAATTACCCTTATGATTGGTTTTGTCTTTCAGGGTTACATGTTATGAATAATTTGCCTGTACTGAAGTTTAACATAATTACAGAACTGATTAGCTGAAGGAACAAGCCTGAAACCTTTCATCTGGTGACTTAAATTTTTTTAAATGATTCAGACTCAGTCAGACACAAAATAGACATGTCAATTCATTTTATAAAAATAAATAATAAGTTCATATTAATCTGACCGGTTAACAAGTTAATATTCGATTAACCTGTGGTGGTTGTCGGTTGGGAAAATTAACCAAAATGAGTATCCCTACAGGGGACTGATACTGTTGCTCTCACTCCTAGACACATACTATAATCCCTTTTGGGGGTGAAACATGGGTACTGTGAAAAATATAAGCCAACAATACTTACACGATGCTTTTAAAAGCAGAAAGCAAAATAAAATAAAAAGTTGATGTCACGTTTTTAAAAAAGGGGGACTGGAGGGTGTGCTCCAACTGTAAGGAGATCATACTCAGCCTTCCTGGAAAAGCCTATGCCAGAGTACTGGAGCGGAGAATCCAGCTGATAGTTGAACCTTGGATTCAGGAGGAACTATTCATGGGAGTTTGCTAGACCAGTCCACATGTGCTTTGTAAGCTTGGAGAAGGTATTTAATCATGTTTTTGGAACTTTGTGACGGTGCTCTGGGAGTATGCGTTCGAAGGCATTCTCTTACGGGTTGTCTCTGTATGACCGGAAGAGGAATTTGGTTTGCATCGCCAGCGAAAATTCTGACGTGTCCTTGAACATGACTCTAGGTCTGGTTTAGGGAGTCATCTCTGCTGTTTGCAGTTGATGTTGTCCTGTTGTCTTCATTGGAACTTGGACCTTCAAAATGCTCTGGGACAGTTTGCTGATGAGTGTGACATGTGGGGGTGAGAATCTGCACTGGTGCTCATCCGAAAAAGGAGGCTTGCCATCTCCAGCTTAAAGGAGAGTCCTTGCCCCAGGTGGAAGAGTTCAAGTCTCTTTTAGATGGCTCAGTGCAGCAGCAGTAATGCAGTCAATGTACCGGTCTTCTGTGGTGAAGATGGAGCTAAGCTGAAAAGTAAAGCTCTAGATTTACTGCTTAATCCAAGGTCCTACTCTCACCTATGGTCATGGGTTTTGGGTCATGATTGAAAGAACCAGACCTCGGATACAAGCAGCTGAAATTAGCTTCCTTTCCTCAGAGATAGGGTGAGGAGCTCTGTCACCCAAGGAGCCACTGTCGAAAGAAGCCAGTTGAGGGGGCTCTCAACCAAATATTACCCTGTCCCAATGAACCATACATCAATGGAAAGTTTATATATTCAGCTTTCAGATGATGAATACATCCTAATTTCCAAAAATATACACTTTTGACCGGTTTTGTGATTCGGGGTCACATGATAAATAATTAGTCTGTATTGAAGTATGAACTAGCTGAAGAAACAAGTACAAAACCCTTCATTTTAAATAGTAGTGTGCCTCTTGCATTCTGTGGATGCTTTTTTTTAAGCAGGTCATTAATTTATTATTTGGAAGCTTCCTGTTACTTACCAAATATTCAGTGTAATAGTTGTCAATTTTTTTCCAAGAAACACTGTAAAAAGCATCTATAGAAAGGTAGAAGAGCATATTGTAGATTCGCTCAGTAAAGCTCATCTTGTCTGTGAGTTTACTCATGGCTCCAGAAACATATGATGGTGGAGCTGGTATCTGACCACACATGCGCTCTACTGCTGTCACAACTGTCCGTGACCACCTGAGGGCGCTGTAGTTCAACAGGACTCAGATGGAACTACAGCGTCCCAAAACACTACAACTCCATACTTACCACGCGCATACACCTGAACACATACACTGATCTGCTATTCACAGCTGTCTCCATTTCTGTTGATTATCTGGACTATATATTCCATCATTCCACCGTCGGTTGTCTACCTTGTCTTTCCTGTTCGAGTTTTCCCAGTAAGTCTTGTATGCCTAGTTCGTTGTTTCTTAATCTTGTTCTGGCATTTGCCTAATCTAGTTTTTCGAGTTATTGTTTCTGAGCCTTGTCTCTGTTTTAGTTTCTGGTTTTGTCGTTTGTTTGTTACTTTGTATTCTGATCACCTTGTTTGATGCACTGTAAATAAATAATCTGCTGCACTTGGATCCGCACCCTTTTTGTTTCTCTGTTTTGATCACGCTAAAACGTGACAACTGCATGAGCAATTGAGAATTTCAAGGTGGAAAAACCAAGGGAAGGTTCAGTTCTTCAGCCACAATATCACTACATGGGTACACTGGATCTGACAGTAGGACATCAAACCTTTCTTTTTTCAAATTGCCAATCGACTTTGGAGATTTCAGAATGCCGTCACAGTAGGACAAACCCATATATTGATGTCTGGAATAAAGATTGTAGAATTTCATTTGAATCTGCAGTAAGTTTAATTACTCCATCTCAAGCACTGAGAAATGCAGAACTTCGTGTATCAAGTCTTGCATGTCCTGTGCAGATGTGGACATGCTGAAGTGCTGGAAGGAGTAGCAATCCGATTCTTCGGCTTTCATAAAGAGCGCGCCATCAGGCATCAGGACTGTAACATTGTGTCCCCTGTCCATTAAAGTGTCCAACACAATCTTCAGATTAATCCAGTGGCTGCCCTCTGTATACCAGACTAATATATTCCCACATTGTCCAGCGCTAAACACAGTGAGCAGAGAAAGAAAACAGACTACGAGGCTCATGATTACAAATAACAGTGTAAAATTATCAGTGATCTCCTTGAACATGTACTGCCAGGTTTAATTTTTAACCTAATATATAGATTTCAACAAGTCATGGTGCTCATAAATCAATAAAAGCTAAAAGATAAGAGGCCAAAAGAAAAAGGTAAAGCAAGTTCATACACATAGTCCTATAATCATTTTTGAGGGTGAAACAGGAGTACACTAAAAAATATATGCCAATTTTATGCAATAGTTTTAAAAAGAGAACGCAAACTAATATAAAAGGTTGATGTCACAATTTTAAAGAAGAGGGACCAGAAGGTGTACATTTACATTTACATTTAGTCATTTAGCAGACGCTTTTATCCAAAGCGACTTACAAATGAGGACAAGGAAGCAATTTACACCACTAAGAGCAACAATGAATAAGTACTAAAGGCAAGTTTCAGGTCTGTAAAGTCTAAGAAGGGAAGTGTTAGTAATTTTTTTTTTTTTTTTTTTTTTTTTTTTTTTTTGTACAGTTAGTGTGATATTCAAATAGGCAATTGCAGATTAGGAAGTGAAGTGGAGACTAAATAGTTGAGTTTTTAGTCGTTTCTTGAAAATAGCGAGTGACTCTGCTGTTCTGATGCAGTTAGGGAGTTCATTCCACCAACTGGGCAGATTGAGCGTGAGCGTTCGCGAAAGTGATTTTTTTCCTCTTTGGGATGGAACCACGAGGCGACGTTCATTCACAGAACGCAAGTTTCTGGAGGGCACATAGATCTGCAGAAGTGAGTGCAGATAAGAAGGTGCTAGGCCAGAAGTCACTTTGTAGGCAAACATCAGAGTTTTGAATTTGATGCGAGCAGCAACTGGCAGCCAGTGCAAACGGACTAGCAGCGGAGTGACATGTGCTCGTTTAGGTTCATTGAAGACAACTCGTGCTGCTGCATTCTGGAGCAGTTGAAGAGGCTTGATAGAGTTAGCTGGAAGCCCAGCTAGTAGAGAGTTGCAGTAATCCAGTTTGGAGAGAACAAGAGCTTGAACAAGGAGTTGAGCTGCATGTTCAGATAAGAAGGGTCGGATCTTTCTGATGTTATAGAGTGCAAATCTGCACGATCGAGCAGTTCTAGAAATGTGGTCAGAGAAGTTTAGTTGGTCATCAATCGTTACTCCAAGGCTTTTCACCATTTTGGATGCAGTAATGGTTGCCCCATCCATCTGGATTGAAAAGTTATGGTGTAGAGTCGAGTTGGCAGAAACTACAAGCATTTCCGTTTTTGCGAGGTTCAGCTGAAGATGATGATCTTTCATCCAGTGTGAAATATCCAACAGGCAGGCTGAGATACGAGCTGGAACCGAGGGATCATCAGGATGAAAAGAGAGGTATAGCTGGGTATCATCAGCATAACAGTGGTAGGAGAATCCATGTCTCTGGATGACTGGTCCTAGAGATGATGTGTAGATGGAGAAGAGAAGTGGCCCAAGAACAGAGCCTTGAGGTACCCCAGTGTTTAGATGCTGTAGGTTGGACACCTCTCCCCTCCAAGACACCCTGAATGACCTGTCAGAGAGGTAAGATCTGAACCATTGTATAACAGTGCCCGCAACGCCCAGTGACTCAAGCGTAGATAGCAGGATCTGGTGGTTGACAGTGTCAAAAGCAGCTGACAAGTCCAGCAAAATGAGGACTGATGATTTAGAGTCTGCTTTAGCCAGTCTGAGATCCTCCACGACCGAGAGCAGGGCAGTCTCAGTTGAGTGGCCTTTCTTAAAGCCGGATTGCTTGTTGTCCATGAGATTGTTTTGAGTAAGAAAGTCCAGGACTTGATTGAACACTACTTTCTCCAGAATCTTGGCCATGAATGGAAGCAGGGATACTGGTCTGTAGTTTTCAAGTAGCGTATGGTCCAGGTTGGGTTTCTTTAGCAGTGGGGTTACCCTAGCCTGCTTAAATGTAGTGGGGAATAAACCAGAGTCAAGAGATGTGTTAATTATGTGAGTCAGTGTTGGTATGACTGCAGGAGAGATGGCTTGCAAGAGATGAGAGGGAATGGGATCG